AAAAACTATGATGGAAGTGTTTTTAACCGTGTAACAGTTTTACCTAAAAAACTATGATGGAAGTGTTTTTAACCGTGTAACAGTTTTACCTAAAAAACTATGATGGAAGTGTTTTTAACCGTGTAACAGTTTTACCTAAATCTCCTCACTTCCTAACACTAACATTTCTATAAATTCAGATTTAAGGCTTACACAGTGCCGCCCGTACAAATCTTCGGCCAGGGACAAGTATTTTGTTTGCCACCCTCTTCCTCTCCCACAAAATTTCAATTCAACTTTTTAATATAACCCTCTTCCCCCGGGCTCTCCACAATAAATGTATCAGTAATACTACGCTTAGCTTGTGCCTTGAATATACGCTCCCCCACCCCTTTTACTGTAACAACAAGGAGTTCATATTTTCGAACTAGTGATATATGTTCCCAGGTATATATCATAAAAGTTATGTTCAAAGATGGAATTATACATATCCAATATCAGTACATTATATCATTATTTTTCTACATGACTTACATTGTAGTTATCATGGTAAAGTAAAAGTCTGTGTACCGTACATAAAATTCTTTGTAATACTAATACAGTATACCGACATATAAATTTATACTACAACCCATTATACACCTCTAGTAACTTGAGTACAATAGACCAAAGCGATTAGATGGGTGTTTGGTGTACAATAAGCTCACCAGCACATGCTGAAAACAAGAAATAAAAACTGTGTATTTCATCAGTTAAACTTAAACTTCAACCAAATAGTATCTTGTATTTCTAAGATGGAACAAAAACAAACGTATTTCCCTAACGGATCATCTCAGATGTGTTGAATCTCTCTTTTTACAAATTTCGCGCAAGTTTTAACGAAAAATATCCCACTTTTTCCTTGTTTTGCGGACCGTGGAGTGGTTCAACTAAATACTCTTTTCTTAGCAAAAACCACAACGCAGACGCGTACTCAAGGGTGTATACATGGTGTTACATGGTGAGATGTTGTGTTTTATACACGTGCACACCCAAAGATGCCCGGGCACCAATGAATGCCCAAGTCCGAAGCAAGTTTCCCGACCTTACCTCCTACCCCCACTGCATTCCCTTCATCCTGAAAAAATTGCTGCGTGATCCTGGCGGTATGAGGACGGGCGTTATCCTGTCGATACACGAATTCAACTCCGACAGCACTATCAAAAGGACTCACATGCAGTTGCCACCCCAGACCATGATTGAGTCACCCTCAAAGGCATGAAAGTGGACAAGGTTACAGGCCGAATATCGCTTCTCTTCATGTCTCCAGACCCTCACACGTCGATCATTTGAAGATACACAGAACCTGCTCTCATCTATGAAGAGTACAGGGGTCCACTGCCGATAGGTCCAGGTGACACGTTCCTGACCGTTCAGCACGATACACACACACACACTCCGGTGACTAGTTGAAGCTCGTTCCTGAGGCATCTAGCGCTGCTGGTGTGGTTTCTAACAGTTGAATTTCGCAGATATCTGTCATCTACTGCCCCTGTAGCCCTTCTGCCACCTTGGCCTTCTGGCGTATTTTCCTAGCCTTATATTTGAACCACAATCTACTGACCGCAGACTGTTACACCCCCATGACCTGTGCTACTTCAGTCTGGGTGCGGCCTTCCTGATGCAGTGTGACGGCTCTGCAAACTTCAGTTTGTGTTAATTGGTTTCTAACAGTTTGCACAATATTTGCAAAAGTCAATTCCAGGAAAAAAATCCATAAACATAGCATTATCTCAACAGTAAACATGAAATCAAAACTACCCTTTTGTTATGCAGAATTTGGGTCATTTCTTAGAAATGCGTATTACATAAGGAACCATTGGGCATAAACTTATAAGCCCTAGGTAGAATTAGTGTATTTCTCTCCAATAAGCATGCTAAAACCGAAAAAAATGATAACTTAAAATGATACAAATTTATACAAACCTCATTATCCTTTAATTTTTATGAGTGATGTATTTAAACCGATAGCAATATGTTTTCTAAATGAAGAAACTTACTTAAACTATTGTGAATATAGAAATAAGTGCCGTAGAATAGCACAGTTGCTATTCAATCACATTTAGACTTTCCCCCTATTTACTCAGGAATTTGTATCGCTTGAGTGACTAAAACCATTTGTAGGATTTTAGAATATCATAAACGAACTCTAACATTGCACATATTTAGAGAAATGTTGAATATACTCTACTTGTTCAATGCCACTGTTTTAATGCACACTTCGAACCATTTAGTGAACAAACTGATACAGTATATTTAGGAAATTTTTCTTACTATGTTTCTCTCATAATTTACTGAGAACCTGTGAAGATTATTAACCAATTGGTTCTCAGGCGCGTGCGAGTTGTTTTGTAACCTTCTGGTGTAATTTGTTTTCCCGTCCTTTTTTCCATTCAGTAACACAAATATTACTAATTAGAGTTGGATGCTTTACTAAGATTACACGACAAACATTTCCCTCGTGGAATAGTCCATGATTAGCGTTGGATGCTTTACTAAGATTACACACGACAAACATTTCCCTCGTGGAATAGTCCATGATTAGAGTTGGATGCTTTACTAAGATTAAAGCTACACGACAAACATTTCCCTCGTGGAATAGTCCATGATTAGAGTTGGATGCTTTACTAAGATTACACGACAAACATTTCCCTCGTGGAATAGTCCATGATTAGAGTTGGATGCTTTACTAAGATTACACGACAAACATTTCCCTCGTGGAATAGTCCATGATTAGAGTTGGATGCTTTACTAAGATTAAAGCTACACGACAAACATTTCCCTCGTGGAATAGTCCATGAATGACATCTGAAAACCAATTTCAGTTTATAAGGCCTAATTAAATTAATTAGAAATTACTTTTTATAAACATTTTTCAATGTTTTCTGCGGAAATTTTTCTATCTGCTTGTCATCTTACGTGCAGAATGAATCAAAATATTTTAGGCTGTTATAAACACGGCAGTTGTAAAATATTAACTTTTTTTTATAAATATTGAAAGGTATTCTTGAAAAAATCTCTAGTATTTTTCATGGAAAGAAAATATTAAAGGGTACCGAAACGTCTCGCTTCTTTCTCTTGTATTATAATTTCGTATAATAGATATAATGGTTGAAATGAGTTTTGTAGTTTTGTGATCCCAGGTTTTAGCGTAGACACTTGTACAAGAGTTAATGAAAGATTTTCAGACCTATTTTTAAGTGCATTTACATTTTTTAAGAGTAGTTCAGAAGTTTATCGCGGAGCAAAGGTTTAATAG